GGTGATCTTAATCTAACCGTCCATCTCGACGATGGGATTGGCCACCTTAATCTTCTGGAGAGCCATTAATTTTCGCTCTTTTCGTTCTTCTTCTGTTTCAGCTTTTCTTTTCCTAGAGCAGATAGAACTGGTTTGTCCAGAAAATCTCACGAGAAAGTGTTTGGGTAGGTGAAGTGGGACTCGAGGTCGAGGGTTTCTTTTTCTTATAAAAAGGTCCCAGAGGCAAAAAGTCACAAGAAAATGAAGATATTCGTGCATACATTTTCTTCTTTTCATATTTCTTCAAATAAAAAATAACAATTTTCATTTTACAAATAGAACTCGTGCGATGCATGTTATTTAAAATCTTTTTTAAAATTTTATTTAAACATAATTATTTATATTCAACATTTCATTATTGGAAGAAAATAAATGCAAAATATAAAAAATTATATATTATTTATTTGAATAGAATAAGTCTTTAATTAAATCAAAACATCTAACACAGGATATATGATAAAATGAATTATAGGAATCGTCATGTTTTTTTTAAAAAAAAAATATTTAATAAATATAAGATACTTAAGATTTGCATTAAAATTTATACTTTGGATAAAGATGAAAAATAGCGTACATATTTTGAAAATTTAAAGATTTCTGTGTTGGATTCAACATCATTAATTGGTCTAATTTTATTTGGACGGACGATATAATATGAAGTTATTATATACCATAAATTAAATGATAGTTAGATAAATACGAAAATGAATCAATCTGTATAAAAGTGTATGGTGAAGTTGATACTCTAATGTATTGAAAAATAATATTTATAAATTAAAAATATGGGGCCAATATTTAATATAATATGTAAATTTGTTAAAAATGTCTTATGAAAATTAATATTTAGAAAACATTGTAAAACGTGTCTATATAAAATATTAACACTAAAATATTGTATAACATGTGTAAAATATCTAAAATGTTCTATATTATTCCAAATAGATGTGTGAAATTGCCAAAGTTTTTCTAAACTATTATTAAAAAAACATATCAAGAAAATTATTAAATATTACCCCACATTTATTTATGATGTTCGATATTTTTAAAATTATTAAATTTATTTGAGTACGTGATGTTCGACTCTGTTATCTATTAAACTTAGATAGTTTAAATCTTATGAATCAAAATTCTTCTATTAGATTTATGGAAATTTATCTCTTAATAATTCATTTGCAGTCTAATTGATCTTTTAATAATTAATATGTAGAAAAGAGCCAAGCCCTAATTCTCCATCGTCTCTCACTCCCCTAAAATTTGTCGTCACTCTTCTTAATATCGCCAGTTTGTTCGCCTTCCTCAGCGACAGTCCGACTTCCCGGTGGTCTGCCCTTCGCTGCTTACCTAAGACCTTGTTCATGGCGCCTATCTCTGTTGGCTCCGGGAGTAAGACGCGGGCGACTTCTCTGACTTTTGGAGTCGATTCGTGGGTTCAGCTCGTCGGCATTCCTGGGTCCGTGGCGGGGCTGGTAGGGGTGCAGTGTCAGGCTGGGTGTGGTTCTAGGTGCTCGCATCGACCTGTCGGGACCCCTCATTTATCTGCCTTCTCATATGGTCTCGAATCCGGTTTTGTTGTTTCTGCAGGTGTCCTTGCGGTCTCTTGTCGCCGACTCCTTGGATTTTCAGCGGTGTTGACGCAATTGGGGCATTTACGCCTTTTTAGCTTCCTTTTCCCTTGTTCTCTGGTGTTGGGTCCGGGGGAGGACCGGTGTTGCCGGAATTGGCTAGTGGTGTTAGGCGGTTTCGGGGCGCTGGTTGTGTTGGGGGCCAAGTTAGTGTCTTTCGGTCAGAGGGCGAGTCGACTCTTGGTGTGGTTCAGGGCTTGGGTTTCCGTTTCAGCTAGGCGGTTCGGCAGTGGAGGCATTGGTTTCTTGGGCTGTGAATTTCTCTAAAGGGTCGTCCTTTGTCCGCTGGTTCAGTTTGGTCACTCTGCTGAGGAAGTGTTGGGTTCTATTAGGAACGTCGACAATGTGCACAATCAAATCATTGAATAATAAATCCTAACGCAGCGGATTCTATAGTTAGGATTATGACTTACGGTTTAAAATTTTTTGCCGACTCAGAGACGTTTTTTATTTCCGTTGATGGAGATCGTCTGTCTACCACAACCCAATCGGTTGAAGGTTTTGGCCTTTGTCGACTCTAGTCGAGTGTTGAATCACGAACGGATCGCCTCGGACCTTCGATATATGAATCGGACTCCTCGGACAGCTCGAAAACCATCTTGGGCACGAACCGGGCTAACTGGGTCAAGTCGGACCGGGTCGGGTCTGGACCGGACTGGGCTGGCTGGATCGGGACAGCTCGCGTCTGGGCCGGACAGGCCTCGCTGGAACTGGGCCTCGGTCGCTGGTCCTAGACTGGTTGCTGCTGGGCCGGGTCGCACGCTGGGATGGCGTAGGTGCACGCGCGCTGAACGGTACTCCTATGCCAGGNAGGGCATGGTCGCTGTCTGCGCGGGTCTCCGGGCACCTGGGGGTGCGGCGCAGCTTTGCACGGGCTATGCGGTCTGGGACAGGCCGGGGCGCGGCCAGGGCAGGTGACCACGCGTCGCGACGGGGCAAATTTAAATTTATAATTTTCCTCAACTAACCTCTACTAACTAGTAGTAGTGGCGAGTAAGGGTCGATCCCACGAGGAATAGGAATTAAATTGTGACAATCTCGTATTAATTGAATTAAACTAGGAAAGCAATAAAAGATGGGGGGGATTGGTTTTATAAAAATAAAAATAAAAATAAGAAAATAAAATAAAAATCTAATAAAATAAGAGAAGTCCAGTTTTCGGTTCAGTTATTACCCAATCTAAATCTACCGTTAATTAATTTCGACGCTTTCTCTAAATTGCTAATGAATTACCAATCCTAGTTAACAACAAGCTCTGTTAACCGAATTTTCCCTTACTGAATATTTAATCGAAATAAGCTCTTCGACTAAACCTAACTAGCGGACAACCTAGAATAAGCTCTCTAGATTTAGTGCACTAGCAGCATTAAGTTCTAGGAAAATAGATCAGTCTAAGCAAAAGACACAAAAGCTCGGACCATTTAACTTATGTTTACGCTACCCTAGAGATGCACGACCCCTAGTTTACTACTAACGAAACGAGACAATAACAATTACGGATTAAAGCCTCGAATCTAGCAATTAAACTATGGATATTCAACCTAGCTGGTCAAACCAAATCAAACACCATAACTCATAAACACGATACACAGATAACATGAATCAACTCATCAACATAAATAAATACGGCGTCTAGATTAATCAACGATAAATATAAATCCTTAAATCCATAGACAAATTCAAGTTAGGGTTCAAACATCCCCTCAAACTGGATAAAAATCCTAGTCTAACATACTAATAAAAATAAATACTAGATAAAAGAGAGAAGATAATCTCCCTCGTGTGCGGGTGCGGCTTCCCTCCGCGTGTGGTGCTTTCCTCTCCGTTTGTGCGTCCCGTCTGCTGTCTTCTCTGCTTTGTTTTTCTCCTCTCTGCTGGCGTGTTTTTTTCTTCTCGCCAAAAGTTAATTCCCAATGAGTGCTCCCAGCCAAATAAATGCGTGCATGAGACCCCCCGCAAGTCACAACTCTCCCAAATCCATTTTGTCCATAAAAAAAAATCAATTTTTTTCCTTTAGCTAAAACGTGATATGCTCCAAGCCCACTTTTGTCTACCAAGCCCAATCACATTAATAAAATCCCCACTTTTGATGTTGATGTTTGGGTTTTTCTTAATTAAACACTACTTTGGGCTTTAATTGGCATGGTATTAGGGCCCAATAATGACTCACGGGAATTCTCGTCTAATGCTCAGATCCACAAAATACTCCAAAACACTGAAAATAGAACATAAAACATCAAAGCAAATAAATTCATCCAAATAATAAATAAGTCGAAAATATAAACGTGCGAATAAACTAAGCGTATAAAAAGACACTGTTAAATATATAAAATTTGCACATTTTTAGACCTATCAGCAGGTAGTGCGCGGTTGGGCGCGGGCGGTGCTGAGACGGCACGTGCGGGCGTGTGGAGCCGAGTTCCGGCGGCTGCCGACGGTGGACGGCGGCGGTGATTGGCCGGAATGTACAGATCTCCAAGGCTTGATAAATATCACCTTAAAGTTTTCTAATGGATTACCTAAATACCTAATTGGTGGAGCGATTAATCGAAACTCCCTAACTATCAAATATATGAAAAACACGATTTTCCTCTTCCTTATAGGAACCTTAAAATCGAGCCTCTCATCATCTACATAAGAGGTTGGGACATGGTGTATTTAAAGGCTCCATTAGGGACCTTAAGGAGGTGCCCAATATGGGCTTATCCATTATGCCAAGGAATCCTAATTCTACACCATATACTAATCCCAACTAGGTCATGATTCCTTTCTCCTAACATCACCTTGTAGAAGACTCTCAAGTCTCCTAACCCTAGGTAATATTCTAGAAGGAATATTTCCCAAGTCTTAGAATATTAAATATGGAATAAAATTAATTTTTAAAATCCTAATTAGAATTAAATAATAATATATCCCACTAGAATATTATTATTGTTCTCCCCATTTGGCTCCAATTTAATCAATTAAATCAAACCTCCACTTGATTAATATTTATTAATCTATTTGACCGATTTACCTCCCTATGTTTAAGATATAACGTCCGTCGATTATATAAATTACTGACAAAATAAATAATCAACTTCTTTATTCATTTCCGAAATTAGTACCACTCAGATCGTTAACCATTATGTCGGAACACATCCGTCTGCAGGGCTTGACATAATATTTCTTCCTGAGCTCATTTCGGGGACATCATCAACCCAGCGCACTGGGACACAGTGACCGTAAATAATTTATAACAGCACACTATATAAATATTCTTGTTTAGCAAAATACCGAGTATGTCATCCTAACAGAATAGGAATCACCCTTGGTAAATCAAATAAATAAGTAATAAATATATATGCCTATTCTATATTATCTTACAGCTTTAGAGAACGCATCAATCACTGAAGGTCTAGATTACAACAACGGTCAGTGAGTCTCATAATATTATCCTTTCGTGGTCCTGTTCAATACTTAACATAAGTACTAGTGTAGTTCTCCAGTCAAAGATCAACTGAATCAAGAATACACTCAGTCTTTTTCCAAGTGGGGTCTCACTGTCAGTCTAGATTGTGAACAAATAATTTAGTCTTACAAGGAACCGATAGGTGACCTTTCTGTTCGAGACACCACGAACCACACTATCTCAATGTAAGACAATGAGTATGATTACATAAATAAATAAACTGCAAGCATATGTACTTTGACCGAAACATGATTGCCAGATCAAAATGGAATTGTTCATATCTGAAAGTCAAGCTTTTACAGCATATCTAACAAGAAGGGCTCGTTTTATTTAGTGTTTGTTTATTGTTTTTAGGTGTGTGTTTTGTTATTTTGTCTGCTATGTCTCTTGTTTTTTGTTTGGAACGTTGGTCTCTGTCTAAGCCTGACTGTGTGCGGGTATTATCCCTTTGGAATCGTTTTTGTTTATTCTCCTTTTGGGAGCATGTAGTTTTGTTGTTTTAGTGTTGGTAGTGTTTTTAGTGTCTTGAGTTTGTATTTTGGTTTCAAGCTTTGCTAGTGTCGGTTCTAGGTGGATTTCAGATCTAGCCTCCTAGTTTATTCAGCTTTTGGTTGTATTATTCAGCTAGGGCTTGTACCTTTGCACATTTGTGCGGTTTTATCTATAAAAGTCTCTATTGTTTCGGGAAAAAAAAATAATTCATATGTAGTTCAAATTCTTCTCTTAACATTTTTAAAGCTACAAATTATATAATATTTTAATGGAACTTTTATATTCTTTAGAACTTTGTCTTTAAAAAAAAAAGTAAAAATAACATAAGATAAAATTGACACATATACAACTAAATAAAATAGGTATATATAAAAATATTCATTAACTTTATTGTATGATTAGATTTTATATTCAAATAAATCATAGATTGATTTTATATTCAAAATTAAATATCATCGAATTTGTTGTGTGACATAGATTTTATATTCAAATTTAAATCTCATCAACTTGTAAGTATATTGTGTGATTTCTTCTTATCGAACTATTTTCTTTTCCAATATTAATTTGTATAATTTCGAAACGATAGATGATATTATAACCAAAAAGCACAAATGTGCAAAAGCAGCCCATAGCTGAATAAGACAGCTACCAACTAAAAACTGAGAGGACATGTCAGCAGACCGCCTAGAACCTCAACTAGCCAAGCTAGAATAAAAACTGACTCAAAACACTACAGACAACTAAACGAACTAAGATCGCTCCCCACAGGAGAATACGATCGGCCCCCACGGGGTAATCAACACAGGGGCCAACGGCCCAGACCAAAAAAACCAAACATAAAACACTCAGGCGAAGAGCCCAGACCAAAAACACTTCAATAAAACAGACTCAAGCAACAACAATAAAAACAAATAGGCCCTTCCCCAGCAATCGAAAGAGCTCGACCCGCAGCGAAACGATCAACACAAAAAGGTTCCAGATCCGAGCAGCGGCTACCGAAACTGCAAATTGCCTATACAGTAGAACCAATCGAACTCCAAACCAATCCAGAGTCGACCCGTCCCCAACCAAGAGAGAGGCAGCCGGCATTCACACCAGACCCACCCGAACTCGTCAAACACCACTAGCCGAGCTTGGGAGAACCATACCCCATGCCGCGTAACACCACTAGACGCACAAAGGATGGTGAGAATGACACGCCCCCTCAACTCCAATCGCTGCCACAAGCAGTCGCAGCAGCGGAGTCCCAACCCACCCTTCAGAGCACGCACCGCCTCGGACCACCACGAAACTCCAGCGACCAGAAGCCAATGCCAACCAGAACAGCTAGGCTTCGCGGGAAAAACGCAGCCCAACGACCACAGACAAGGAGAGATGAGGGGTTTACCTCCCAAGTACAGCTCCCACCGGCAATAGATGAGAGAACTCGATTAAATAAATATGAATTTATTTAACATTCTTTATTAAATAAATACGAATTTGTAGTTAGACAAATATAGATAAATAAATATTTAACAATTAAGTAGAAATAACTTTTCGGAAAGATTTTAAAAAATTTCAAATGATTTATTCATTAAATGATTGATCGGATTTTTGTAACCAAATTTACATGTTTGACCGAAAAAACTTATGAAAATGATTGACCGTACTTTCTGAAAGCAAGTTTTTCAAAAGTTTTTTTCTCATTATTGGTCAGATTTACCCGTAGCATTTTATAAAATCGTTGCCCATATTTTTAGGAATTAAGATTTATGAAATATCTTTCTCAAATAACAATTCTTTAAATAAAAAATTGACGAAGAATTTTATTTCAAAAATTTATTAAGAATTAAGAATTCTATTTGAAAAA